ATATATATATATATATATATATATATATTTGAAAAACTGGGAAATTTGTCTTAGCACCTGATGCAGCTGGGAAAGCTACAATTCCGATGCTCTTGCCTTAAGCATGGAAATTGTAAACCCTGCAGCCTATTTCACCTGCTAACCCACTTCAGGGTGCTTTATTTTGGATTAAAGCATCGCTTACTAGGAGCTGGGCAATTTATACCAGTCACGCTGCTTTTCTGAAGGGTACCTGGGGTCTTGATATACACACTTACAGACCCAGCTTCAGCTCAGCACGTACTTTACTTGAGCAGGGAGCTAGCATGGGAGCGAGCACAGGGCTTCAGCAGGAGTGACTCCGTGGCTGCTAGCAAATTCCCGGTGACATGGGGAGCCAGGTCCCATTCCCTCTTCTTCCAAGGGCCCTCTTTGTGAACTTGGTCAATTGATTTAGTCTCTCTGGGACTCTACTTACACAGCACTAGCAGCCTGGCCCTGTCCTGCCCTGCCTCACAATGGGAGGAAGCTGCATTCAAGATCACTGGGTACTGAGATAAGACAGTAATGGGGGTTCTGCTAATTACCTAAAATGTTGCATGGGCCCTGGCTGCCGGCTGCAGGAGATACCTCTGCAAGGAAACTCCCTTGTCTGCCCTACTGGAGGGCCCCTGATCCCCATGGTTGATCCCCCATTTCCTGATCGTTCCTTGTGTCTTGAGAGAAAATCTAAGCAATTACTGCCAGCAAGCTCATTATTCTGCATTGAAACCCCAGTAAAACAGGAATGACTGGGGTCAAATATATATATATATATATATATATATATTTGCTCGATAGTCAGACACGCACCTTTTTCACTCATTGCTGGAGGAAACAAGACATATTTGTGTCCTGGAACTTGCAGAAGGGGCCAGAGGCTTGACTATCCTTATAATCTGAGCTCCTATTTCCTGGCATAGAAAGACAGTCCTACTTGTGCACAGTATTCCCTTGGTCACCTCTCCATCCAGCTTCTTCCAAAGCAGCGTAACACAGCTGACCATCGATGAAGCCAATTGCAAATCATAGGAGGTTCCCGAGGGAATCACCTGTACAACTGAGGTGCAGTAATGCACGCTTAATGCAAGCTGCTAGCTTCAGATCCTTCTGGCACCTGCCTAGCTAAAGGCTGTATTTCCAGTGGAGGCATAGTTAGGTTTGATGGCATCACAGAGTGTGCAGTACAGTCACTTCAGTCACACCCCAGGCTGCATGGCGCTAATGCTATAGTCTCTTGGGCCGTGCGTTGTTCTGTAGTTGCTGTTGATTTTTATAGACAGTACAATTGCACCAGCAATGTCATGGTGCCAGACGCTATACAAACTCATTGCAACAGGCAGGACCCATCCTGAAGACATTCAACAGACAAGACAGGCCCAGCAGGACTTATTAACCCTATTTGACTGACAAGGCCTAAGAGATGAATCAACCTATTCTGATTCATTTGGCCACTGCTTCCCTACCCAGACTGTATCTGAAGCACCCATAACATTGCAGACTTACAGTCTGCTGTGCTACGTGCTTGGGGGTCAAGTCTGGGATCGGCCTGGCTAGCTCGCGTGGGAATATTCCCTGCTCACACAAGTCAGTCCTGCTTCGTGTGAGCTGCACCTGCAGAGTCCGGCCCTGGATCCCGCCTCTCAAAGGCACGGGGGGAGAAGCCAATGACGCTGTTTTGCTGAATTACAGGCATTCCCAATAAGGAGGTGAAGATGGGCCATAAGGGGGGGTTGGGGCCAATACACAGCTGATTGATTGCAAACATCTATAATGCTCAGTTCACAGATGATACCTTTTATTAGACCAACTAAGACATGGCAAAAAATAAAAAGATCTTTTTCTGCTTGATTGCTTGATTCGCATTGCTTTCTATTGCTGATGGCACTGCTTCCAGCACCTGGACCAAGCCTCCTGGGTGCCTTTGCAGCAGAGATTTGTACTAGATAACATGAGGAAAAACATCTGATGAACCACACGAAGGTCTTAGAGCTATGGGCTGAAGAATTGAGCTTAGTGAAAACCATCCAAGGATTTCCAAGGGATGCATTTTCCCAGCCCCTCTCTGGGAAGTTACAGGTGGTCTCAGGAAGGACTGCTGGTCATGAGCCCCAAGAGGAATGATTGCTCTCATGCATCCCAAACAGAGTGGCCAGATGATTTCCAAGGCCCAAGCCAATGCACCATGCCCATGTCCAGTCAGTATCATTAACCCCTGCCTTACGTCTGGCTGCCAAGCTCCCTCACCATGTCCCTGAGTGAAGTTGCATTTCTTCTGGCATTTCCCTACCCTGCATGTCCAAATAAGCTCTAAGCCATGTTGAATTTTTCTTGGCTGTTTCCACAGCCATAAGAAGGATGAACCCCCCTGGCCCCTCCCCTGCCTTGTCCAAACCCTAGAAACATCAGTGCTGTACCAGTACACGGCTGAATCGTTCCAGTCCAAATGTGGCAGAGCCAAGCTGTGTGCATCCAAGCTGCACAGCAAGGCAGAGAGGTGAATCAGGATCTCATGCATGCAGGAGATGAATATTCATCCTGAACCTAAGCTGGATTTGCACCGGATAAGAGGGCAATGATTTTTTCCCTTGCACTGGTTTCATCCAAGAGAAGTCCTAGCGAAGTTCATAGGATCCTCAGGGCTGCCCTAACTTAAAGGCACTAGGAATATCCCCAGCTTCATGCTCTAATAGCAAATCCCTCTCTCCCAAATGCCAGAAGTTATAGGATCCTCAAGCCTCTCCAAGAGAAACAGAGCTCTCAACTCCCACTAAATAGCTCTGGACCACATAAGATACCGCAGATGTCTGGGGGAAGTGGGGCGAGCATCCTCCAAACAGAGGCAGTGGGGTCCCACAGCCGAGCCCCCATTCACCTGCAGCAAGGCAGGAGGTTGTTTCATTGACGAGCGAGGGTGAAAAAAAAAAGCAATAAACAAACCGTTAGTGTCTCCTGCGAAGGGAACAGTTTGTACTCGCCTCTCGCAGCCCGAGACACTTTCTGATTTTTTGAGAGCTTTTCACTCAGCCAGAATAATGCAGCGCACACTGGGCTCTCTCATGCCTATAAGCCCACGGATGAATCATTCGTTACCCCATAACAAGAGCTAAATGCCATTTCCTGGAATGAGTGATCGGGGCAGACGCAGGGGCTAGCTTGGAAGGACCTTCGGAGC